TCAAGTAGTTCCTAACACTTACTAAAAACAAATATCCAAACAAGCAAGTAATAAATAAATATTTTATATTTTTAAAAATTTTTAAGGGTATTTTAGAGACTATTTTATATATAGTTACTTAGTCTTAAAATATATTAGTTAATATACAGAATAGTTTTCTAGTATAAAAACCAGTATTTTTATTTAGTTTCTTAACTAACAGATAGCTAGCTATATATTTTATATATTAATATTAAGATCTTACTTAAGATAAAGAATTTATTATTAACTATAAATATAAAAAGCTAGTAATTTATCTAATATTAATAATAATATTTTTAGCTATAATTAGATTATATACTACTATAAGCTATACCGCAAAAGCTCTAAGTATTACTAGACTTAAGCTAGTATTATCTGATAGAATAATTCCGCTAAATATATTACCTATATTAAGAACTTTAAATATACTAATCTGCTATCTTTGTTATTATAAGAAAAAAAGATCTCTGTAGCTAGTATATACTTAAGCTGATTTGTATAACTTAATACTATTCCCAGCGTGTACAAGTATAAAAACATCGTCGATAGCATATACCACCTCCGGCTCTTCAGTTTTTATATATATAAATATAATTACCTCGACTTAAATCTCAGGCTCGACTTAATTATTAGTTTATAAAAATATAATAAAACTACAATATTTATCTACTAAAGCTCGTTTAAAAATAATATTTTTTACTAAAGTTATAATATTATATTAAATTTTTATAAATATTTTATTTACAGCTATTCTATTACAGCTTAGGCTATTATTATAGTTTAATATAGCTATAAGATTAAGCTTTTAGATAAGTAATCAGAATTCTAAAAATATATCTGCTATTATGATTATTTCTAAGTAATTAATTATTTATTAAGCTTTAGCGGCTTTATTAGATACTAGCAATCTCTTCTAAAAAATTATAATTATTATTATTTATAGTAAAATTTCTATTTAAAATCTTTCTGTTGGTATATTCTATTTATAGTTTATATATAATATTATTTTAGCTATTTATAGGATAATACTACTCTATAAGTATATATTATAGGTTATAACTATAGTTATTGTATACCAAATTCTGCCAAAATAATAATTATATAGAAAAAGTATAATAAGAATCAATAAATAATAGATTCTTGCAGTTGCCAAGAGAATATTCTGATTTTATTAAATATTATAATTATTATAAAATTAAGAATCTCAGAAGTAGTAAAGTTAGATGGAGATTTTAAAATAAATAGAGAAATAATCTAAAAGAAGCACTATTCTACTAATTACGAATAAAAAGTTAAGACAAGAACTATTATACTTAGTGTTTCGATGGAGTCTAGAGCTCTATTCTTTAGCACCGGCGTGATATTGTAAAGGATTATGTCTATTCAGTTTGTAAGATCTAATTTGAATTATTTACTAAGCCTACTGTATAAGACACGGACAATCGATCCACAATTATGCTTACTAAGAATCTTGAAGTTTAACTAAAGTAGCTGTACAAAGCACATCTCTATCAAATAGTATTTCATCCAACATTCCTTTATCCGCATATATATATTTTATTAAAGTTATACTAAATTATAATACTAAAAATATTTTAAAAACTAAAGTAGACGGCAGCTGATATAGTTACTAAGATTTTATAATATATAATATTTATAGACTTTAATGTTATGGGACCAAGGCCCTGATATAGAGCTTAGCTTCAGGTATTAGTTAATACCTGAGGCCTTGCATACTATATACTAAACTAGCGCTAGCTTAGCATATACTTAAAAAGATTTTATATAAAAAATTAAAATAGCTTTTTAGTTATTTTTTTTATTTTTAAAAAATATTTTAATTAGCACAATCTATTTATTCTGTAATATTAGAAATAGTTTATTAAAAAGCCCTAGATAGAGCCCGACTAGATATATAAATAAAATAAAATAAAACTAAAAGAATTATTAGAATAATAGAATAAATAAATTAGAAAGAATTATAGCTGATTATAGTATTTATAGTTATATATAATAATATATAACTTTTTTTACAGAAGCTAATTAGTTTCTATATAAAAATAATAAAATAAAAACTAGCTTTTAAAAAGTAGATAAATAAATTATAAAATTATAATATAACTTCTACTATTAATAGTAAACCAGAAAAAAATCTTTTATAATAATTATATAAGCCAAACTACAGATCCTATTTTTAATATTTTAATATAGAACTATTTCATAAAAGAAATAAATACAATTATATACTATTTAAACTAAATATATATATAAAATTTATAATTAACAAAAATTACTATCTTACCGGGCCGGAATAAGTTTTTTATATTTATAATTAATTATATAAATAGATAGTATAGTAGATACTTTTTTAGATTAAATTCTAAAATACTAAGATAATATAACTTAAAAATATACTTATAATAATAAATAAAATATTTAAAAATTTTAATATATAACAAAAAACTTTAAACCGGATAAATATAATAAAATAAAAAGAATAAAACTAAAAAGATTTTTAAATAATTTTAGCAAAGCTCTGGTATAAGCAGAAGAATATAATTAATTCAATAAATAAAAAAAACTATACTAAATACTATAGTAAACTAAAAACTTATTAAAAGATTCGTCGGAATTTTTTGAAAATCTATATATAAAGATTATTACAACTAACTATATTATATAAATTATAATCTTAACAAAGTGTCTTTTTTTAAAATAAAAGTTATACTAAAATTATACCGGTATAACTAGAGTGGCTAACAGCCAGGTTAGATCAGGTTAATTGGAATTTTTATATGTAACCGCCAGGTTATAACCAGATTAAAAAAGTTTTTATATTTAACTATAATATAGCTAAAAAAGAAATAATTAATTATTTTAATTATTTTTAGTATTAAAATCTATTTATTATATTTATTTAGATTTTAGCACAGTTAAAATATATCTAGATTAAATAATTATTAATCTAACTATTTTAATTATTATTTAAAAATATATAGAACCAAGCTTTTCAAATCAGAAAAAAATAATTAAAAGAGATATTAATATTTCTTTTATTTTTATTTTAAAATATTAATTAGAAAATCGTAATAATATTAATAAATTTTAGCTTTTTATAAAATTATAGTTTTTATAATAAAGAATATATATAAAAATCTATGATTATAGCTTGATTTAAGCTGTATATTTTAATTATAATATATAATATTAGAAAAGTTTATATATTTACTAATAATTAGACTACTAAAAATAAATATATTATTTTTATTTTATTATTTTTCTTCTTGTTTTAGCTTAGATAGTTTATTATATTCTTATTTCTATTTAAAAGAGCTGAATTATCTATATAATAAATTAAATTTAAAGAAAAACTTATATAATATTATTTATATAATCTTTTTCAGCAACTAGATATTCTAATGATTATTTTATTAAATATTAGATATTATAAGATGAGTTTACTATTTTTATTCTTTTAATTTCGTTGATTTTTGTTCTTTTAATCTAGTTAATCTTATTATTCTTTTTATCTAGTTAATCTTTCTAATTTATTTAATTTTTTTAACTCCAAGTATTCTAAAGATCTGTTATTAACTATATTAATCTTATTTTATTTATTTTATTTATTTTATTTAATATAACCGAACTTTTTATATAATAATAATATATATTCCGAAGTCTTTTTATATTTTTTTTCTTTTTTTTTTAAAAAATTCTTGTATTTTAGTACTAAATAGATTAGTTTTTAATTATTTAAATAGTTCTTATAGATACTATATTTTTAATAAAAAATTTTATATAAGCTTTTTTTAAATTTTTTCTATAAATATTAGAATAATCTGACTAATCTAATTAATCTAATTAATTAAAATAAATAAAATACAGCAGGCGCTTTAGCTGTATTTAAAATATAATTAATTATATTTATATAAAAATATATCTTGAAATAAAACAAACTGTTTTTATAAAATTTTCTACTCTTTTTTTCTTTATTTATTATTTGCAGAATAGTCTTAGAATTATAAGTTAATTATAATTATTTAGCTTATTTTAAGAAAATATTATTAAGTCTTTTTTTTTATTTTTTAGATACTTATAAATTATAATAATATTTAAATTAAGATAAGCTTTTTAAATTAGATTTTTTTTTCTTAAATCTTGAAATTATATATGTTATAAGAAATCGAAAGATTATTTTATATCTAATTATTAAAAAAATATTTTATTTTTTAAAATTAATAGTAAAAGATGATTTTTTTTAAAGCTTATATATAAGCTTAAAAACTATTATTTTACTTTAATTAAAAAGAAATACTAAAAATATTAAATAATTTTTAAAAAGATATATTATTTTCTAATAGAATTTTTTATATTTATTATATTATCTATCTTTATATTTTATAATATCCGGGAATTAAAAACTTAGAAACTAATTTTATAAACTACTATTTTTATAAGAATTATAACAAAAACTATTAATAATATCTAAATAAATAATTAATTAGATACTAAATAAAAAGCTATTATAAATATTTATTTATTCTTTTAATATAAAGTTTTTTAATTATTATTCTTTATAGGCTTTTATACTTTATAATAAATAGAACTTTTAGAATTAAGTTTTATATTTTATAATTATCTGTCGCCTACTATTTCGAATTATTAAATATAATTAATTTAAATAGATAATTAATCTTACAGCTTTATTTTTTTACTAGAATTAAGTTTTTTTGATTAATTACAGATTAAAAAATATTTTTTAAAATTATTAAAAAATATATATATACAGCTGTTATTAAAATTTTTAAATATTAAATAAATATTAATTATAATAAACTGCTGGACTAGTTCTAATTAGAAAATATTTCTTATTTTAATTAGATATTTTTTAATAAAAGATATAGATTATTATAAAGTTCTACTAAACTTCTAACTAATATCTAGATTTTATACTAATAAAATTCTAGTTATAATTATTCTATTAGTTTTATATAAATATAATCTATTTTATCAGTTGTTAAATATAATGAATAATAATACTAATAATAATAGTTTAATATTTAATATAATATTATCTAAATCCCGGACTTAGCTTAACTAAAATATTTAGTTTTATAATATGTTATTTAATTCTAATTTTATAATAATTATTTAAAACTAGTATTATATATTTTATTTTACTTATATAATTCAGCTTATAATTAATATCTTTCTACAGAAACTTTAGATTAAAACTTTAAATAATACTGTTAAATATTTATAAAAAAATTATAATAAAAGTTTTAAAGCTTTTTTTAATATTTTAAATAATTTTAAAAAGATATATTTTAGAAACTATTTATAAAAGATTAATATAAAAAACTTTTACTATAATCAAGACGATCTAAATCAATTCTTTATAAACAGATTCTAAAAATTATTATAATAATAATCAATAATATTAATTTTTAATTATATATCTAGAAGATTATATAATTTATAAATATAAGTTTTTAATATTATAAAAAGTTTTAGCTTACTTAATAACTTAAATTAGATTTAATTTATTATTTCTTTTTAATTATAAAACTTGCTGAAACTTAATTTATTTTATAATTTACTAGATATTTAATTTTTATTAAGTAATTAATAGTTTTATTTAGTACTATAATTATAATAATATTAATTATATTTATTCTATTATAATTAAATAAAAATAGATAAAGTATTTTTTTAAATTTATATATTCTTTTTTTTATATATATATATCTAAGAATAGTAGGCCTACTATTTATAAGATTTATAATATTTATAATATTTTTTAAATTATTTGTATTATTTAATTAACTAACTAGTAAGAAAGCAAGTACTTTAAAAAAAGATTTTTAAAAACTTATAAAATATATATTAAAAGCTTTAATAATATCATTATTATATCTATCAGATAAAAATCTATATTTATATAATTATAATTATTCTTAAACCCGATATTAAAGCTTAAAAAATTAAAAAAAAATATTTAATTAGATAATAATATAAATTAGTATTTTAAGTACTAAACTATATTTAAAAAAATATTCTATTTTGATTATAGTTAAAATCTAGTTATTAATATATTATTAACTATTTCTGGATTATTATTAGATCTAGATAAAACTTTTTATAATATTTCTAAATATTAAAGATTCTTACCGGCAGCTGAGATATTTCAAAAACTTAAGATATATTTATATATTAAAAATATATAATTTATTATAATATTTTTAATTAAATTAATATTATTCTAAATATTATAAAATATATCAAAATTCTTACTTACTAGAAGTTTTATTATTATTAGTTTTGTATTCTTTATTTAATAGCTAGAAATTTTCTTTTAGTTATTATTAATAATATTAGTATTAAATATTTATTTAATAATTTTTAAAATATCTACTACTATTGCTAAAGCTGTTTTTATTCTAATATAATTAAAATAATAATATTTTAGATACATATTTATTATTTTATTATTAATAAAAAATATTAGAATATTTTCAATAATCTTAATCCGCATTTAATTATTTTTATATTTAAAAAATAAAAATTAAAAAAAATAATTATTATCTTTTATATTAATAAGAATAAGAATATAATTAATTTTAAAGATAATTTAAAAAATAAATTATTATTAAAAATAAAAAAATTAGCTTTCTCTAAGTCTTCAAATATTATATATACTTAGATAGAAACTAAAATCTAGTTTTTTAAATTTTTTTATTATTATAATTATTATTCTGAATAGTATAAAAAGTAGTATAATCTTATTAATTTATTTAATATTAGATTTATATTTCTTATACTAGATTTTATAAATATCTTTTTTAAAGTATAGTATACTTTTTAGAACTATAAAAAAAGAGATTAAGCAGGTTAAACAGATTAAATAAATTAAATAACTTAAACAAATTAAATAGATTAATTAGATTAAATAGATCGAGTAGATAAGCTAGATCTAGATAATATTATTATACTATAATTAAAAGTATATTATACTTTATATATTATTTATATAAAAAAAATATATTTTTTATTAATTAATCTACAGTTATTAAGCTATCTGCTATATCAAGTAAGTAATTAAAAAAATTATTATTTTAAATAGACTCTAATATTTTTAACTAAAGTAAATATACTAGTTTTATTAGGCATATATTATACCTGCTATAAACTATATATTAACTATATAATATAATTTGTTATATAATAAAATATATCTATAGCTTTTTATAATACTGTAGTAAGTAATTCTAATTTATATTCTTTTAGTCTTCTAAATAGTATCTATTAATATCTTAAAAGTTGAATTATATATACTATTTATTTATCTGTAACTAAAATTATAAAAATAAATAACAGCAGTCCGGTATAGTAGTCTACTGGATAACTATTTAATATAAGAAGTTATAAAACAAGCTATAAAATACAGTATATATATATATAACATTGTATATTATCTACTAATAAAGATAATATAAATTATAGACTTAAAATATTAATAAATCTTTAAGATTATTAATCTAAGACTAGTAATATTATAGCAGGCGCAGACTTTCACTAAAATTAAGCTTAAACCAGATTAAAAAAAAGTACAGGCCTAAGCCTTAGTCAAGCAGGATTTAAAATAAAATCTAATAGTCTTTTTAAGTATATTAGAAAAATAAAACCAGCTGAATACAGCAGCAGTTATTTTTAATTATAATTAATATATTTTAGTAATATTTTTTCTACTAACAAAAGTATAGATTAGTATAAAAATAATTAAATTAATATTTTAGTCCGAGCCGGGCTTATAATCTATAGAAGAATATATTTAAAGAACTAGAGGCTAAGATAATATAAATTTTATTAGTTGAATATATTAATTATTATAGAAGAGAAACTAGCTATTGCTATATAGTGTTTTTACTTCCGGCTGTCATGTGATCCGGTGATTCCAGGCCACCAACGCCGACACACGCTAATTAGTCTTATTTATATATTTATAATTCTAAAATCGATATAATAAATTAATATTAGATTATTCTATATAAAAAATATATATTAAAATAGTAAAATAGATTTTTAATATATTAATATAAAAAAGAATCTTATAAATAGTCTTACTAAGCTGTTTTTTACAGCAGATTTTAAATAATTTAAATATTTATTCAAATAAATAATTTAAATAGTATTTATATTATTTTTATATATTTAATAGTATTACCGTGTGGAAAACTATTTATATTTTTTATAATTATTCTACCGGTAGTATTTATTAATCCTATTTTATATAATTATTCCGGTATTTTAATACTAAGAAAATAGTCTGTTTTTTTTATTATAATAATTTTATATAGTTTAAATAGCTTTAGAGTATTTAGGCCTTACGGCGAGCTAAGGGAGTATATAGAATATCTGATCTTCTATTAGCTAGACAGCTTACTGCCTTAGCCGGCAGTTTAGATAGGTGCTCAGATAGCTGGAATCCATCTCTCTTCACGCTCTCCTTACTCTCTGAGTTGACCGACCAGCCAACACCCTTTCCTTCCCCAACGCTTTCCGTCATGGTTTGGATCTATGGGGTAGGGGACTCATTCGGGCAGATCTACGACTCAGCCTACGACCTGACAGGTCTCGTGACCGGCGCTGACCAGAAGGGCTTCGTTATCATCTACTTTGCCATGATATACTGCGTCGGGATCTTTAGGCTTGCTTCCTCTCCCGCGCTCGCGGCCAGCGACTGGTCCTCGACTGGGTGCAGAAGCACATCACCGGGCTCGGCGGCGACCCGGACCAAGTCACCATTGTCGGCGAGAGCGACGGCGCAACCGGAGTCGGTCTTCAGATCACGGGTCACAGAGTTCGGGCAGAAGAAGCACCCTTCCAGCGCGCATATGACCGCGTGGCACGCCAACGTGCCCAGCACCGCGAATTATCTGTTCGCCCTCAACCAAACGGTCTTCCGATCCTGGTACGCGGCCGCCAAAAGCTCCTACCTCGGGGTCTCGCACTTCAGCGAGATTCCCTACGTCTTCAACCAGGCGCAGAGCGATACGCCCCGTACGCCACGGCGGCCGAAAGCCTCGTTTTCTCAGAAATAAGCGGCAGTTGCGCGGCCTCTGCAGCATTTGGGTCTCCGTCGCATGGCATTGGGACGATTGCTGCGTGGACGGGATTCACCAACGGTTCTATTCCCTCTTCGTCTGGGCATCCCTACGATGAGTCAAACCGGACCGAGCAGTACCCCACTCAGCGGGCAGAAATGTCATCCTGGGCGGATAGGAGGACCTGGCCGCTCGATGTGCATTTTGGACTTATCGCGAGGTGGTCGAGGCATTACAGGTTTGAACCAACCGCTCAGACCACACTGTCATGAGCCTACAGATGTTTTATTTAGTCACCAGTCTGTCAAAAATATGGGATATCTAATTAGGACCATATAGGAGGACATTAATGACATCCGCGTTTAGCGTTCTAGCCGGGCTATCCGCAGCCCTAAGCCTTTCCCACCAACCCACGTCACATAGTCCAGGTTTGTACGCAGTCCGTCAATGAATCAGGGCACTTTGACACTTGCGTGGGTGCTGCTGCTACTGCTTCCAGCCAGCGGCCAGGTACACACTACCTTCGATACCAGACTCTCCACCCACGCCTGCCAATGTTACCCGATAGGATGTGGCCCGTCTTCTACGAGGTCGATGTGCACCGTCTCCCTCTTCATCAAGGAGTCCAGGACCCTACAGGTGAGCCACCGGCCTGGTCGAAGACTATAATCTGAGAGCTAGCTAACTAGCGACTCTACAGACCCCGACACATGCATCATATGCTTAGAGCCCCTGAATTGCACAACGGTCTACCACCAGCTACCGTGCGAGCACAGATTCCATCAGCCGTGCATCGACCCCTGGCTCTGCAACCACGACACCAGCTGTCCGCTCTGTCGGGCCCAGTTCTACCATCTGCGACGGCGGATCCAGCCCGCCCACCGTGCAGTACAGCAGCAACCCCTCCCTCCGACCCCGCGGCCAGTCTCTCGTTCCTGGTTCAAGCCCCTCTCATCATCATCGCCAGCGCTCTCGTCGCAGCAGACCTCATTCCTCATACCGCTGCGGCGACCTCGCTGACGGGTGGTCCTCTCTTTCTCGAGCTCATCCCGATCGCGCTCTTGGCGTTCCAGTCGGCAGGCTGTCTGGCCGCGACTCGCTTCCTGGGCTTCAGCGACATTCCGATCGTCGTGCTGACGAGCGTGTACTTCGATATCGCCTCCGACCCGCATCTGCTTCGTTCGCCACTGAAAAATGCCGAGAGAAACCGGCGCGTATGCGGTGCGGTATAATATGTGGTCGGTGCCATCTGCGGCGGGTGGTTGAGTCTCAGCGCCGGCGGCATGCAGGCGGCATTGTGGATTGCGGCCACGTTCAAGCTCTGCGTAGCGGGTGTATGGCTGTTCTGGAGGCAGAGGCAAGGTTGAGGGAATCGTCCTGCGAAGATCCATCACCGTCGACCTTAGCTGTGAGAATCAGGGGCTGAGGTGGTGCGATAACAGGCTTCGGACGCCCCAACAGAGAATGCATTCGGACACCGGGTAGCGAGATGTTCTTACATCTACGGGAGAAAAGGCCCTAAAGTGAGTTCGGGCTCTGTCAGGTTTTCACCAGCAGCGTCACGATAATTGGAGCCAGCCAACCTTGCTTCGCAGATGGTAGTCCCATCACCAGAAAGCAGGCTCGTGGTACTTCCGCTTATGAAGGGTTCGTATATTCCAGTCAAACTAAGTAACTAGGCTTTGTGACTGCCATTCATTGCCTTCTGGTCGCGGAAAACAAGTTGCGGAAAACAATATCCTCGGCTGTCAGTTGGTCCTGCAGCGTGGAGCCCTGGAATGGCAGAGCTAGCTGCTGCACGGCAGTCTGGCAGTCGGCCGCCTGCTGGGTGTAGGTATTCAGATTGGCGCTCCAGCTGTTGGTCTGGTCGCAGAGAATCTGTACGACGTTGAGCCGGTCGGACACCTCCTGCTGGACGTGGTCGCGGAGGTCGTCGTTGGTGGGGTCCTGCCGCATGGCTTCGAAGTCGGTGAAGATTTTGTCTGTTTTTTATTGTTTCCTTTCTTTTAACAAAGCCTGGGACGAAGGATTAGATGGTGAGGAGGTGCGGTGGGTTTCCGAGAGAAAGGCACAGGGAGGACGGGGGAGAAATGAAGGAGTGGGAGCAAAGAGAGCGACGAGGATTTTGTGTCGGTCATACACACCATAATCATCAGATGCGGTGGAGCAAAGAGCCAGGGCGCTGTCACACACGTAGCCTGTGTACTCGTATTGTCCCTGGTTTCGTGGTAGATGTCATGAGGATTTTATCACGAACTGGATATATAACCGGAAGAACATACATAAAGATTGGCGGCGACTTGTCGGACCTGGGATAGAGGCTTGTCAGTGGAAGCAACACACACACACACACACACAATATCCGTAACAACAAGGGTCGGTAGAAGAGATGATGAGCAGAAAGCAATATCTGCTTAACAATCGCAGTCCCATACCGTCATAAACTCGTCTGCGATTGGGCCCAGTTTACTGTATAGCTGTTGAGATGTGTTAGCAAAGCTCAACACGCAGATTGCCGCAGGTGTCAGGAGAACATCTTGGTTCATACAATCTGATAGCCATTGTCCGAGAAGCCAGCGTACTGCTGAAGGGAATCATCGTCACTTGGTAGGCTCTCCGTCGCCTGGATGACTTCGGCCAGCGTGCGAAATGTGGCCAGCTTTAAGCAGAAGTCATCGTCGACCAGGAGGCCTGGTGGGCTCAGGAAATCTGCGTCCTAAGGCATGGTGGAGTTGCAGGGGTCATTTTGAAGATTAAGCTTGCCGGCTGGAAATTGCGATTCTTATCTTGATCGATCAGGTTATGGTGCAGTCAAGTAGCTTGGAGTCTATGACGAAGAACCGTGCAAGCATGACGTATCTGCTTTCGGTTGCAGCTTGAGCCTAGATTCGCGCCTGATAACAACGACATTGCTTTGCGAATCAGTATACTAGATGGTGGGGACCTTTGAAGAATATCAGTGTAGCATTAACCCCGTGGTGGGTAGCGGCTGTCCTGAAGCTCGGCTTAGCTGCTGTCTAGCTGTGTCGGCCAGGGAAAAGATTCGGTACTCATCTCTGTTTATCATATCCTGCCACCAACAGTATCTAAAAAGATGATCGATGACCGGAGGGTCCAGCAATAGTCACATAGTCTCATAGTAGACAGCCTATGGGATATGTATTTGCTTGGGTGCGCATTGAGATTGTGACTGGATCGTGGATGCTGAGGAATCTACCCTCAGTTTGTCTTAATGTAAACTAGTTAACTTAGTAGCGCTTGATTAACTATCTAAACCGTTTCGTCTTGATCATTCATCTCGTTGTATAACTCAGCTGCTTGGTGGTATAACTACTTGTTTCGCCTACCTCAGATGAGTGCGTGGACAGGAAGTGCTGGGATGGTGTACTGTGCATCAGCGCCGTGAGCTGTGAGACTGCTGACATGACCACGTACAGTATACAAACCAGAAAAGCCAGCTTTCACGGGTGACCTCAACATTGCGCCCCAGTTGAATGGCCGTTCAACAGTCGCTACTGAAGGAATAGAACAGATACAAGTTCCTGGAGTCATCGTACTCGTGAGCTTACATTAAGCGAGTCTTCAGCTTGAATGAAGGATCAAATCCTAACCGCCTAGCTAGTCTGCCCGAAGGAAGAGCTGGTCCGCCGACAGGGGATGATAAGGCAGGTCGTGTCCGATAAGGCCTGTGATCCATGATCCATAATCCACTCCTGGTCCGAGCGTTGCCAAGATCATAATCATTAGTGAGCCAGTAACAAAGCATTCAGTTATCCAGGGTGGAGTGAGAGGATCTCGACAGGGTCTTGCCACGATCCATGACGCGAGGCTCTTGTCGAGGGAAAGTATACGAGAGTCTGTTGTTTCTCGCGACGAATCAATGTGGCTTGCACCCACTTCAAGGGTCATTCCTTCAAACCCATGCTGACTGTACTGTGCTCACGAGGCATAAGACCAGTTAAAAGGCGTCCAAGTTCACATGGAATCAAACCCAGAGCCCCGTTCCTGCTGGAACCCTAGGAGAGTGGGCCAAAGGCTGCCGAGGTTCGATCGCGCAGGCAGGTCAAATTGACTCCTCCATCATCAGCAGCGGGCGTCTTGGCAGCGGAAAACCTCACAAATGGTGCTGCTGTTTTGAGTTCCGACCTGGCAGTGCACCGCAGAAGTCTGAAGCAGGACCAGGACCAACTTGCCGAATTCTACGGTGGCTGCTGATGAGCGAATGAATTCCAATAATGATGAGGGGAAGGTGGCTCTTGACGCAGGTTCCCAAGCAGCAGTCCGCATGGAAAAAAGGCACCCGACCGCATCAAGGCGGTGTCCAAGCAGAAAATCCGCGGCGGTTGCCAACTTCAGAAGCTGTCTCAGAAGACGGAGTCTACCTTGCTTCTGCTCTTTATATTTAGCAATCACCATGCCTTAATCCACGCGCTTCCAGAGGGCTCATGGATTCTCTTAACTGATTAGTCTTGGCGTGTGCCCAGCACCAGGGTCAGACGGCTTTCGGCGACCGTTCGGCTCACTATCCATATTTCGGCATGCGATCACAGCAGCTAGTTCTAACCGTAAGATGTGAAGGTACTTTCTGCTTCTAAATTGTCTGTCGTCAGCAAACGTTATTATCGAGATAGGCAACTCAGACGAGCTGACATATCTCACCAGGTAAGACATGGCCGTAATCAGCAAAAGCTCGCAAAGCGGTGAGATGTATATCGCCGCTCCAGGATCGATAGGTCTGACCAAGTGACATCACAAAATCTCGCCAGTAGAATATGCATGTTTCAACCAACATACCGATGAAGCTTTGCATCTCCGAAGAACCTTCTTTGAAGGACCGAAAACTTTTGAGCTTAGAGGAAGAGGAGTTGCGGTGTGCGGAGGAATTCCGGATAGTGGGAGAAACTGCAGGTGCACTTATGCACGCTGGTCCCGCTTCTGTGGAATCCCCCTCAATGGGTTACAAATCTCATTTTCCGCGCGGGTTGGATGCTGAGAAAAAAGAAGTAAAAAGATTTAGGTAATTCATCGACTATCTAGATACCCCCACGGCCGATCGAATGGAAATCGAAACATCCTGCTCTGTACGTGGTAGGAAAGAGCTACCTATTACCCCGTTGTCGTCCAGTACCGAAGACACCGCGATGCAATATCTCTGCAATAAAATCTCAATGAACCTTGAACCGCTGCGAAGGGCGATGTCGTACAAGGGGAGTGATACATGGGGACTCTTCCGCAGTATCGCAGATTTGAGCAAGATAGGGTACTACGCGATCAAAAGTAGCCAACACCCCGCAGTCAACCAAGCCAATATATCGAGGAATTAACACTCCCCTTCGTAGGGGTACATCAAAGTATTCTGGCAATAATTTGAGGCTTATGATGCATAGACCACCGGTATGGTAACATGTTCAATTTGCTAACTGTCTATCGAAACTACCGTGTGAAGCATAACAGAATCCGCGATCGTAATAGCCTAGTCCTTCAACCCCCTTCGCCCGTAGCACGGAGATGAGCGCATGCATGCACGCTTCAATAATCTTGCATCTCATCAGCGTCAGGCGTAGAAGAGCGCGACCACCGCACCCAGCAGAGCCAGCGCCCCCTTGGTAGTCCCGGCGGTAGACGCCGCGGCACCGACCGACTGCTGCGCGGCGGCAGTCGCGGTAGTGCTGGTCGAGTTGGAGCTGGACGCCAAGGATGCGGTAGTGATCGTAGCCTTCGACGAAGCCGCGGTACTCGTACCTGTGACGGAAACAGCAGCCAGGTTAGTATGGTCATCTTGCAGCTGTGTGTGAAGTATGGTCTTGCCTAAAGAAGACAAAGGTGTGATCGACGACGCAGGTGTCGACGATCCTGGAGTAGTGGTGGTGGTGGTGGTGATTGAGGTAGAAGTGGTCTCACTGGATGTAGAGGAAGTAGTGGAGGTGGTAGAGGTGGTGGAGGTGGACGTTGAGGACGATGAAGTGGTCGATGAGGATGAGGAAGAAGAAGATGAGGAGGATGAGGATGAGGACGTTGTACCATCGTTCGAAGCACCCTTCTCGACTGTGAACACCGGGCTTACGGCGAGCTGCCCTGATGAATCAATGATCTGGATCTCGTAGTCATCTCTAAGGTACCACGAAGGCAAAGTCAACTCAGCGATTCCAATCTTGGCGAGAATCACGATGTTTCTCGGCTAAGGCTACATACCCGTTGGAAATGCTAGGGTTGGGTTGAGTGGTGTATTCCCCCTCGGAGGTCTTCACGTTGTCCGCCAACTTGGTCTGAAAGGAGCCATCTTCATTGCGCAGGATGATACTGATATACTCAGGATCACTGGAGTCGCTGGTAAACTTGATGGTTTTCGGGGTGGAAAAGTCCCATTCCGTATCTGATGACGGAGTAGTGATGGTGATGGCCAGAGCTGAGGAGATCAGGCCCAAAGAAGCGAGTGTGAAGGAGTAACGCATTTTGAAGCAACAACGACAGAGTATGCTGGCTAGTCAAGCTACAGAGAACGTCTCACGATTTGCCAGGAATACAACTATATATACAGCAGATAATACTTGTGCAGTGTGCTGATGGCTATCTGTACCTCCTGGAAGAAAACACTCAAACTGTCAACACCCTTCAATCCAGTTGAAGCCCGACAGAATGAGACACGCAGATTGTCTGGGCCTTAGAGAGCAGGGAGCAGCAATACGAGGTGATCTCCAGTACGAGCTGAGCCTCGCCTGTGGAGACTGAAGCAGAGGCGAATAGTCACGCAATCGCCATCCCGGTGCCCACGTCAATGACAACAAACGGGGACTAAAAGGATCGATGACTGAATCAGTGATCTGTCATGCTGTGTTGGGATGATTCCACAATATCTTCCCAATCAGATGGGGTAAATTACCCTTACCGATAAAAAGGACTCAAGCTTTGCACTAACCAGGGTTCTTCTGATGTCAGCGCTAGGGCGGCGCTAAGAAAGGCAAGTCTCCAATCCGGCGGTGCCGATAAGGCTTGGGAATCGAGGCTATCAAGTTTGTTATTCTATTTTTGTGTGTATCGTTCTGTCACGTCTGTAATATATAGCCCGTCCTGACGGTAAGATTTCCCTTCGAAATGACATTGGCCAAGTCAGTGTCTGCGCCAACTGTCAAACAAACTGCCGTGGTTTGTAAACTGGGGCAACCGAAGCCGATGGGAGCTGGTGGCTGTGCCCGACACTCAGGGCGACCCACGGAAATTTGGAAGCTTGGGCACGGTCGGAAATCCCGAGATAGTCATACAATCATACAAATGTATGACGTTGCGTGTGAAATAGAGGCATGCTGTTGAAGGACATGCTTAAGGACTCTCAACAAGCGTGGATGCGTTGCAGAGCCACACACTGCAAAAACTATCGCTGCTACGGACGACGAGGTCCAAATTGACAAAGCAATGAGAAACAGAAAACTGCGCCCAGACTTGAATTAATGTCTTATAGCGTAGTGAATTATTGTATTATAGCAGCAAACTCAAATGTAGTCTGTCTTCGTGAAGGCAGAATCTCGACCATCTAATAATAAGACCAACACGGCAAATCGACAAAGAAGAAGAAAAAAAGAAAAAAAAGAAAGAAAGGGGAAAAAGAATCAAAGGAGGGAATGATGAAGGAGGGGCAGTTGACAGGATTAGATGACTAAGTAAGAGGTGGCCATGGCTGCCGTCACCAGCATCGTCCTTATCTCCCTCGACAGACCGAATAAGGAAGACTGAGCCCCGGTGGAGGACGAGGGGCTTGCTGACGAGGCTGACGAGCTACTCGAGGTTCCGGTTGAGGATTCATCCTTACAGATATTGCTGCTCTTCTTCAGGCTGTCAGTGGGATAGTACACCCGAGGACCGCCATCCGAGCTGAGGTCAACCGTGAGATTGCCGCTGGCATCGGTGACAAATGTTTTGCAAGAAAGGATCTCCGTCACGTTCTGTCGGGATTGGAAACCCGTGCCGTCGGCGCCCAGGGTGAATTTGGTGGTGGCTTTGGTGGCGGGCTTGGCTCCCAGGTTAGATACGACGCTCACAACCTGATTGCCAGCGAAGCCCTTGCGGATGGCCAGAATGTTGGTCGAGTTGTAGATCGGCAAGGACAGGTACGAGAGATAGTCACGCCCAGCCTGCGACTTGAGCGTGTACTGTTTGCCATCCCCGCTGGCATATGATCGAATGCGGTTCAGCGATTGGACGAGCGACGGGAGGGAGGTCGAATCCATCGAGTAGTTCGTGCGCCAGAGAGCCTCACGATTCACCGGGTTAAATGCCCCCGATAGGTGCTGCTCTTCACCGTAATAGACTGCGTTGACTCGCTTAGTACTTCGGACTGGTTGTGTAGGTGGAGAGAGAGCTGGAACAAGAACATACGAATGGGTATACCGTCTGCCAGCATGCTGATGGTGAGAATATTGCGAGCAAGCTATTCGACGGCCACAAGATTAGACTAGGTAGGCTCACCCTCACACTGGGGGCTGTGAATAAACTTACGGATATGTCCGAAGTATACGAGCCAAAGCGAGGGACATCCTGATTCGATGTGAACGTTCCCAGGGCCAGAACGTCCTGCCAATAGTTAGTTTCAGATTACCATTTCAGGGGTCAGCCAACTCTCACCGTGCACAGTGACTTGGTGTAGTCAATAGACTGGAAAATGGCGCTCAGGTCGCCATGTGTCGTATTGAAGGCGTTGGTGAGGATATAATACCTGAAATAAATCAACACTCCTTCTGCGAATACATATCGGTGTGTGTACTCACAACGGATAATTCAGCAGTCCGTTTAGATCAGACTGCAGTGGACAAATGTCTGCTGCAGTCTTTGTCGCACCTTCGCCAAAAAGGAAAACTCCCGCGGATTTGTTGAAGCTCGAGAAAAAGTCGGGGTCAATGTTCAAGACGCTGTCGATACGCAGCCCATCGACTACCCACACAGGTGTTATTGAGAAAATCATAGACACCACATGAAACATAGAACTCACCAGAGTAGTTTGAGACCAGCTCCGAGACCCAAGTGCCCAGCATGCGCTGAACCTGCTCGTCCTCATTTCGCAGATCTGGGAGCGAGACAATATTGTCTCCCATCCAGCACTAATGCCCATTTTTAGCACATCCCCTGCAACCATCGTAGAGAGAAACCCACATCCAAAACACAAGTGTCATTTGTGGGGTCCGAAGAGAGTAGTTTGTAGTCGTGGAAATATTTCCGATCGTTGAAAGGGTTGAACGTGCTGTAGTCGACCGTGGTGGAATTCCCCGCCCAGGCCATATCCCCGACCACGACATCCAGCATCAAGTACTATTATTCGCTTTTTTCAGTCTTGTCTGACATTTTCGGGTTTATGGCCATGGTCACTCACCATCCCACGCCTGTGCAAGGCCGAGGATAAAGCTTTGAGGTCATTGGAGGTACCGAAGTGGGAGTTGATGGAATAGAGGTCGTTGGGCCAGTAGCCATGGTATGCTGTTATCCGTGAAGACGACTAGGTTAGTCTTGAGGAGCAGATTCACAGTCCCATGGGACAGTTGCATGGTTTCCTGAGCGTACCTGAAAGATCTGCGGTTCGTTCTGATATTTGGCTTTGTGCCGGAGAGATCCAGATTGCATCGAAGCCGAGTTCCTGGATATAATCGAGCTTGTTGATGATGCCGCGGAACGAGCCCCCACAGTAATTGCCTTGTGCTGCATCACAAGCGGCGGTGGTTGAGTTGTCGGTTCGAGCAAAGCGATCGGTAACAATTTGGTAGACGGAGCGACCGAGCCATTGATCTCTGGAGGCGGCCTCAACCCTTACTGTCCAGTCCGCCAAAGTGGCTGCAACCATCAACGCCCTTCTCCACCACCGCCCGCTCATCATCGGTGACGTTAGCATAACCAACTCGGTGAGAAAGAAAGAGTATGGGGGTTAGAATGATGGAGGGAGTCGGCAATGCTCTACTCTGTAGTTGCCCTACGCAAATTAAGTGACTAGGTGATCAAGTCATATAAGTTCATTATCTACGGAGTACGGAGTACCAGATCTCATATATGCGACCGCTACGTTGGTATTCTAGCAGCCTAGGATTGATACCTTAATTATTAGTCCCAGTTGGCTAAGTCAATAATGTTGATCATTAGATTGCTTTTAGATTGGATTATCCTAGGATCTTGGCCCAAGGGACGGGAAGGGTACAGAGTATTCGGAATACAGGTATTGGTATTCGACGTGGTATTAACCGGTAACGAAGAGTGGATCGGCCCGTTGACCAGCTCTGTCTGCCCTGAGCCTGTCATCGAGCCCGATCGGCAGCCCAGATACAAGACAGAAGACGACTGTCAGATAGTCAACTTCAGTTACTGTCCTCAAGGTTCTCTTCGTTCCCCGGCACTGCCAATCTTGGGAAAATCCCGCCATTCCCGCGACGGGACAGTCGGCTCCTTATCTGCCCTAGTTAGCTATCACAAATCACAACCTGGAACCCGGACTATCTCTCCATCCGATCCTGTGTTCTGGGCTTTTCTCCTTGGCTCGCTTCCTTTGTCCGCAAAAGGCCATGTATCAGCATCAGCTAAGTCAACTTCGTTAGTTGGTGAAGTTAAGTTATCGCCTATGACGTGTTTCATTGAGGGCGTGCTAGCCGGTCGGGCATACATTTCACTGACTCCTCCCGTACTCCCCGTACATACTGTGTACGGGGTACTCCGTACTGACGGTCCCATTGATGGTTTTCTCGCCGATCCGCGGGTTAGAGATATATGACTTGTCGGATGGGAAAATTTGCCCTTGCAGCCATTTCCAACTCAGTATGATGAACACCATCGTAGAACCCTTCAAGCTTCGATGTTGAACATATATCAATATATACCTGTATCGACTTGCATGAATCATCCTTTCCCCTCCCCTCTCTTCCTCCCCATGGGTTGTCCGGTGCATGAGCTGTAAGGAGGATCTCCCCGCCGGAATGGGCGAGGAGCAACTGATACAGACCCACCTCGTACACTCGGCCAGCCCATTTCGACCACTCCAAGTGACCTATATTCGATGCATGTCAGATCCAGTCCATACGAGACATGAGGCGTCTCTTTTGGGCCTGGAACCTGGGTGTCGAGGCCCGAGCAAGGTGGCGTGGTTGTCTCTCAGCTGAAAATTTCGTTGGGATAACGAACATGCTGGAGAAGAGACCCACCCCCGAAAAGATGGCGTTTGTTGCCTCCAACAGAGCCGCTAAAATTAGGACGTTGTTTTCGACTGCCTCACTCGGTGTCGGCGCATGGAGGCTGTACATGACTACGGTATGGATCGCCTTATCGCTGCGGAGGGTTCGTTATCTACGCGAACATGCTTCGCAAGCTCATCTTGCGCTTCTGAGAATATTTCAGCCAATTTATCACTTTTTCTCCATGAGATACCTTTTGCACTCTCTTTGATTCACGCTGGATTTATTGCTGCTTGTATGAGTTCCTAGGAGATTTTGCTTCTTTCCCTCCGCAGTTCGAGGCTTCCAACAGTGTGCTGCTCCGTGGATGTCACTATAGCAGTGGCATTCACTGTGCGCCATGAAGCTTTTCAACCCCATCATTCGTTACCTTGCCATCGTTGCACTGGTAACTCGTCTTGCACTATCCCTGCCCTACCTTGAAGAAGAAGTAAACTGGAATCTCAATCAGAATCAGACAGCGACAGACCCTCTCGACTACTCGGGTCTGTGGGATGGCCACACCTACAACCCCTCACCGGACAACTGGCGGTTCCCTTTCTACACCATCTTCCTCGACAGATTCGTGAACGGTGATCCGAGTAACGACGATGCGAATGGTACGCAGTGGGAACACATCCTGACCTCCAACCAGTTCCGCCATGGCGGCGACGTGCTTGGTCTGGTCGATACTTTCGACTATCTTCAGGGTATGGGGATCAAGGTAAGCTTGCTGCCGTCGGAATGAATGTTGATTAGAATAAGTTGACCAAAGCTTAGGGCGTCTACCTCGCTGGCACACCGTACATCAACTGGCCCTGGGGTGCGGATGGATACTCGCCTCTAGATCTGACGCTCATGGATCATCACTTTGGGACGATCGAAGACTGGCGCACCATGATATCAGAGGCTCATCGACGGGGCATCTACGTTCTGTTCGACAATACCTTCGCGACGTAAGTGTGATGATCCAGATCCGGGAAATATTGGAGTGTCATCAGCTAATCGTGGTGGGGACAGCATGGGCGATCTTGTCGGTTTTCAGGGGTTCTTGAACAGGTCCGCGCCGATCAACCCCAACGAGTATGACTATGTATGGAAGTACGATCGTCGGTACTGGGACTTCCAGCCCGGAAACGAGGTCGAGGCCGAATGTCCCTGGGAGTATCCGCGGTTCTGGGATGATGACGGAACTGGCTTGACCACCACAACTCTGGGTGCTTCGTGTCGGAATAGTGAGTTTGATCAGGTAAATCCTCCCCCTCGCCTTACCCTCCCTACTGCCTTCAAGGTGTCAGGTCGCGCTAATCCCTCATGGCTATTGTTCTAGTATGGCGAAGTCGCGGCGTTTGGCAACTACTCCGAATGGGAAGGGCAGATCTCCAAGTTCGCCTTCGTGCAGGACCGTCTGCGCGGATGGCGACCGGACGTTCTGGCGAAGATCAAACATTTTTCGTGCCTGACCATTCAGATGCTGGACATCGATGGCTATCGCGTGGACAAGGCTCTGCAAGTGACCCTGGACTCCCTGGGCGAGTGGTCGGAGGCGATGCGCGAATGCGCCCAGGAGGTGGGCAAGGACAACTTCTACCTCCCCGGGGAAATCGTGGCGGGAAACGCCTTTGGCTCGCTGTACATTGGTCGCGGTCACCAGACAAATCAAACCATCTCCAACATGACGGAAGCTTTCATGATGACCAACAAGACAAACAATGCAACCCGGGATCTTTTCTTGCGACGGGCTGAAAGATCCGCCTTGGACGGGGCTGCTTTTCACTACACTTTGTATCGTGGATTGAGTCGGTTCTTAGGGTTAGTCCCCGCTTCCCTCGTAGTCCCCCTCTCCTTCTTTTCAGAGGCCAGTTGAGGTTGACAACTGCTTGCATTCAGGTTGGACGGTGTTTACACGGCTGAAGGCGACCCACCGGTTAACTTTGTAGAAACCTGGAATGGTCTTGTGCAGACAAACGACATGGTTAACACGATCACCGGTAAATTCGACCCCCGTCACCTGTTCGGTGTCACGAACCAGGATGTCTTTCGGTGGCCAGCGATCGCCAATGGCACACACAAGCAGAATCTCGGAATGTACGTTGTCTCGTTGCTCATGCCCGGAATCCCTATCCTCTCCTGGGGCGAGGAGCAGGCTTTCTACGTCCTGGACAATCAGGCGGATAACTACAGTAAGACATTCCTATCTCGTCTCTTGTCCAGCAGGCCCTGATCCTTAACACTGCAATAGTCTTTGGCCGTGGACCCATGTCCTCCGCACAAGCATGGCAAATGCACGGATGCTACAAGATCGGAGCGTCCAAATACTACGACATGCCGTTTGAGAGCGCCCTGACCGGCTGCGAGGACGACTCCGTCAGCCTCGATCACCGGGACCCCTCGCACCCCGTGCGGGGCCTCATCAAGCTGATGTTCGAGATGCGGCAGAACTATCCCGTGCTGAACGACGGCTGGTACCTGCAACAGCTGTCCAACCACACCTTTGACATTTATCTGCCTGGTAGTGACGGGACGCCGACCGAGACAGGCATGTGGAGCGTACTGCGCTCGCGCTTTGCCGACATGCAGAATTTCGACGGCCAGGGCCAGGGCAACCAGAGTGTTTGGTTGTTGTATGCGAACGATAACCAAACGGTCCATCACGAATTCAACTGCAGCGCCAAGGACGCGTTGATCTCGCCGTTCCCCGCGGGCACCACGGTCAAGAACCTCTTTCCGCCGTTCGATGAGTACACGCTGGTCAACAGTTCAAAGACGCTTGGGTATGGTAGTCCCCCGTGGGAACTTGGGTATTGGTGCTCTTACTGACTATGAGCAGATTGGAAGGGTCGAAGCTTCCGAATGGGTGTTATCCTAACCTTACAATGCCAGCATGGGGCTTCAAGGCCTTCGTCCCGAAGAACAAATTCCTGCAGCCTTCGCCGTACATCACAAGCTTCACCCCGGGACATGACGCGCGTCTCGTGCCCAACAGCACCGCTGGCGACACTGTGCGGATCGGCTTTGAGTTCTCCCAGGAGATGGATTGTGACGAGATCACTAGGTCGCTGACGATCGCGTCGAAGGCGCTCGACGACGAGATTCCCAAGCTGGACAACAGCTCCGTCTCGTGCAAATCCTTTGCGGAAAAAGAAGTGGCAGGTTGGCCGGGTGCACTCACTAGTGTTTTCAGCTACGAGGCCGACTTGTCGAACGTGTACCCGGGAGTTCATCAGGTCACTGTTAGCAATGTGACCACAAAAAATGGAAACTCATCCACCAACGTGAGTACAAGCTCCACTACCCACGTTCACCATGTGCAGAGACTAACTGGATCTATTAGTCCGTCGACCACTTCCTTTTCCGCGTCGGAAAGCTAGACAACCCCATGGTCTGGCCGCAAGTAGCCAACTACAGCCGAACACTCCTATTTGAAGTCCCATCCTCTGATTCAGGGGCTCTATCCGTGCGGCCACAAGCCCCTGGTGCAGACAAGTGGCGTTACTCGCTGGATTTTGGTGCCACGTTCAGTGATTGGATGACCTACACCGGGTTCAACACTTCGATCCCCAGCAAGAACTTCAGCGGGCCTGCGCGACAAGCCTGGGATGGGGAGCACATCATCGCCCAGTACTGGAGCAAGCTGGCCGGGAGCAGTGACCACTGGCAGCACGGCGACAGCCAGTGGGAGTACAGGCCCCCGCGGCGCTTCCCCAACCTTTTCATCGAGGGCGAGTTCAACCAGTTCGGCTACGACGCCGGCTACTCGAACAAGATGACTCTCAGCAACCTCACCGGTCGATGGGAGAT